CACACACACACACACACACACACACACACACACACACACACACACACTCAGACACACACACTCAGACACACACACACAGCTATAAGCATTTTTGTCTTTCATAAAATCTGTGCAGAAGAGCACCTTGCATCTGGATTCTGGAAATCAATTTATACCGACAAGGAACGCTTCTGCCCACACAGTCCTCCAGCTCAGGATCAGGAACACACATGTGCGCGTGCACGCACCCACACACACACACACACACACACACACACACACACACACACACACACACAAAATCATTATTTCAGAGGTACGCACCAATGTGCACATATAAAGACAAATTATTTTGTCATATGTCTCTGAACCACCCATAAACAGAGATAAAGAGGCACACACATCCACATCCACAACCCTTTCTCTGCCAGGATGATTCATGTATTTTAAGGGCTCACTATTTAGTGTGGGTGAACACATTGTTGCAGATGTTCCAAGGAGTGGGTTGGCAGGAGCAGGGCTCAGAGGACAAAAAAAAAAGAAGCAGAAGGCCTTCACAAGAAGTCTTGAGAAGCTATCTGAGGCATGCACACAAACTAGGATTCCAGATACCAAATTGAATTAATAAAAACAGGTGTATATTTCCATCTCTTTGATCTTAAAGCCAACAGGGCTGTTGTTGAAATTTGTTCATGTTTTTCCCCCTCCATATTTTTTGAATTAGATAATTTTGTAGACCAATCTCATCTCTTTATATAGAACACATTTTTCATGCGCTCATCTTGAATGTTTTCAGATGACTGAATGTGCATTTTCAGTGGTTATTATTACCATTCCAATGCTTCAGACAGGCCACACTGTACATCCCACGTCGTGAAGTTCAAAGTGAAACTTAACGTTGTGATACCGAACAACTTTAGGTATAGGCAACAAAACTACTGGGTTTCGGAGAATATCATGGTTTGGGTTACAATAAGTCTGTTTGTTACCTAACTGGCATTAGTTAATAAGTATGTAAGCACAAAAATATGGTCAAATATGTCAGCGAGTATCTGTGTCTGTCAGCCTGCAACGACCAGGAGGTTGTCAGTGCTTTGTACTGCTGGTCACATTAATAACACCATAGGGGATTCAAGTGTCCCTTTCCTAGGCTTCCTGCAGTTTCCTAAGAACTAATTACCGTGATTATGCTTACTTGCGTCATGCTGTCCAAAAATATCGCCTTTCTTGAAGCAATTATGCAAAACCAGACAAATGCCCTTTCAAGCAAGTGAAGCTACAATGAAGGGATTTTTCTGTGGGGAGTGATTTTCCCCCACACAACTTTGAAATTGAAGACATTTGTTTTCTCCGTTAATCACATTCCTCAGTTGCTTTAACATAACATAACAAAATGAACTAATTAATATGTGTTGGATGAAGAGCTATTCTTAAATACAGGGGGTGGTCAGGAAATACTAGTTAATCGGGGAATCTGTTGTTATTTTGAGCCAGCCTCTGACGCACACTTTTAAAATCTCCTTCAAATTTAACACCATATATTTGTTGTTATTGTGGCTGTTGGAGGAAGTAATAAAAATGATCAGCAATTGGTGGTATTGCAGTTTTACCTTGATAAAACTGCAATACCAGATTGAACATTGTATTGTACTTCAATTCTAAAGGAAAAATTCTCCCAGAGCACAATTATTTTTCATTTCTGGGCCCATTTTGGTGTTTTTATAGAGAATCTTTATTATTTTCAGTGACATGATTTCATGCAACACTACACAACAATGCAAATACACAATCTAAAATAGTGAACTTCAGATTTTGCTGTCATTACCTCACAATCAAAGAAGCAAGGATTTTCTCATTGATAAACACAGAGAAACATACATCACAGTGTATGTATTACTGGAATACTATTTAAGCTAATAGAGTAAATCTTTTGGAATTCAAAACAGACTTTATCATGTAGAAATGTTGAAAGTGGCAATTCAATCATAAAGGTGAACAGTGTGTAGGATTTAGTGGCATCTAGTGGTGAAGTTGCAGTTTGCAACTGAAATGTCTCCCCTGTGCCCAGCGTGTTGGACCGTTACAGTGCAAAAACGTGAAAATGCCAACGGCCTTATCGAGAGCCAGTGTTAGGTTTCCATTCTGGGCTACAGTAGAAACATGGCGGCCGGCTGAAGAAGATCCGTTCCGTATATAAGGGCTCATTCTAAGGTAACGAAAACACAATCATTATTATTCTCAGATGATTATACACTAAATAAAACATACTTATTAATATTATATTCCATTTCTGGATTAAATGTGACCGCTGAGACTTTGTCTTTGTCTCTGCTTGCTGTAGAAGCAAGTGGGTACCTTACCTCTACCCTGTAGAGTAGTAGGGGGTTTAATAAACCCCAGTTCAAAAGGGCCACATGTTCCCTCCCAGAGTGTAATCCTGCTCTGCGGCCCAGTGGTGATGTGACAAACATCCCAAGCTTTTTATGAATGATTGCTCGGAGATTAACAAGCAAACAGACAGAAGGACCCATGGAATGACAAGCGCTCATTAGGTATTTATGGAAGGCTACAGCAGCCTGGGTGGCTGATTGACTGGCTAATGGCCCGACGCTCCCTCAGGCAGCAGCAGTGGGGATTCAAAGAGCTGGCTGTTGAATTGCAGCTGCAAAACAATGATAATAAAAATAACCACACTTTCCTGAGCAGGTCTACAGTTGATACACAAATGCTCAAACTAATTATGAACTCCTTGATTCAACACTTGCTGCTGCCCTTGATCATATGAGCTACTCATCCAGAAGTTTTAATGGGGCAGTATTTTCTCTGCTGTAGCATTTAACATTTCACTGTTGAGTCCTACAGGGACGCCGCCTTGGCGCTCTCCTCCTCTATTTTTACCAAAGGAGCATATGTTGAGTTGGTTTAACTCCAGATTAATACCAGACTGAGCAGCAAAGAACTATCACAGGCCAATGTTCCATCAGTGACTTTTTTAAGTAATTAAAAGAAGAAGAAGAGAAATCTGCCCTCTGGCTTTTTTATTTGGATTTTTGCAGTACATGTATTATGTGTTCATTTTGTCCTCCCACTGATCTGTAATGTGACAAGCAAGTTCAAAATATTTCCCGCTCGAATGTGTTTGAAAGCACTTATTTCAGATCACAAGAAATTATGCAAAATACAGTCAAAATTATTTGTAACAAAGGCTATGGCTGTATTCAAAACTGCCTACGAGTTGCTCAAATGGCTTTTTCAGATACAGCAACAAAACAGTTTCAATTTCAGAGTGTATTAGTTTTAGTCAGTTAAAAATTAAAGAGTCATGTGTCCCTCTTCTCTGGAGCCGACTGAGCATGACTGGCCGGCTACCGAGCGAGCTACGCCCGCAGGCGCTTGTGGAGCTTTTCAACTCCAAAATAGAAAATAATTTTAGAACGGACATTTGTGTTTTGATATTTATACAATCAATCCGTCAACTGGGAAGTAAAAGCCTCTTGTCTACAAGACTGGTTTCTTGAGAGAGCTGGCTTGTTGACACGCCAGTTAGTGGAGATTCTCAAGTGTTTTCAAATTTTCGGTTC